TCCTCCTCTATCTGTTTGATTACATAATTAAATCCTCTTAACAAGATCCATTTTATACAGAGAGGCTTCGTTTGATCAATAGTTTACTAAGAAGAAAAGTCCAGTACATCAATAAACAAAAAAGCTACAGAAAAGGGACTTTAGACTTTTTCTATGAAACACATTGTAACACAGGCGTATGCTGCAGCGCTCTGAGACCAGGTCTGGGAGCTAGAGTCTCCTGAGTTCTAATCCTAGTCCTTACAACTTCTCTACTGATACAGGTAAATCATTTAATCTATTTGCTTTAATTGCCTACTGGTCTATTTGGGATCACTAGAGGTATTGTGAGGATTAGTTACTGAAAAGCACTTGCATGGATAAACAAACAAACAAAAACAAACACACACACACACACACAGAGAATTAACCGGTGGGACTCACTGCCACAAGATATAAAGGCCAACAGTTGAGCAACATTCAAACCAGGATAGGACATTTATATGAACAACAACAACATCCCCTGCTACAGTATACATATAGAATAAAAATGTATAAAGGACACAAACCCTGGAGGGTGTTAGCTAGCTAAAATTTGTGGGGATTAGCAAGGAATTTCCCCTTTGGACAGATAATTCCACAGTTGACTATTAAGGGATTTCTTGCACCTTTTTCTGAAAACTCTTCTGCTAGCTACTGTCATTGAGGCTTTCTTCAGCAAGAGGACCTCAAGGCTTAGCTGCTAGTCATGAGCTCCCAAGCTCTTGCAGATTTAGCAGGACTCACAGCTCGTCTTCTGAGAGTTTGGCATTGGCTAGGCTGGTAACCCTCTTTGTCTACAAAAACTATTGTGATTTCTAATTCATGCACTCATACCTGTCGCTACCGTTCCCTCATCCTCCCTACTGTGCTTGCTTCTGTTAGTTGCTGCTTATTGTCTAAATCCTAGATGGTGTGCTTTCTGGGGCAGAGACTGTGTTATTAGATTGTACATTAGGGTCTTAACCCTTGTCTGGGTACAAACATAATAAAAATAACAAATAACGTAACTAATGTATGAAATCTGAAGAAGTTGATTGAACAGGACATTCCCCTCCCTTCTGTCATGCAGCTGGTTCTGGACTCAGACTTTGACAATTAAAACCCAGGACAAGTTTAAGTTCACCACAGAATGAACAGCAGTAAACTGGTTTGCAGAGCGGTGGCTGCATAAGAGGCTGGTGAGAAGGGTGGCAGTACAATCTGACCTGACCTGTCTGATAATGTTCTTCCTACTAAAACTATGGGGGACAACTAGAAAGAAAGCGACAAAATGGTGGTGAGAATGTGTATGAAAATACTGCAGCTCATAACAAGATTGCAGGCAGCTTCTCTCTTATTTTAAGAACTTGACACCCTCTAGTGGTGCAGCAGGGAAGAGAGGATTAGTACATAGTTTGTTCAGTTGGAAGGAAACCTGTAGGACTGCTGGAGTTTTTCTTCCTTAGAATGACGCATTTCTAGTTTCTTGTTTGGGTCAACAAGAAGCTTAGACCTTATCTCTCCCCCTCCTCTGCCCCAGACACACTCACAATGGATCTAGGTAAAAAGAGGCACCCTGACCCTGGGCTGTTCGGTCTTCCAGGGAGAGAACGGGTAGTGCAAAGGACTCCACCCACACTGCAGGGCTTATAGCAGCACACACACACACACACACACACACACACACACACTCTCTGACTCCAGTATACTGGCGACTCCCAGCCTTTGCAGTTCATATTCAGGCTTCCCTTGAGTTCACAGACTATATTACTACAACATCAGAAAAAGCAGCCCCCACCCACCCCTGTACATTACTAGGCACTTATTCCACTGCTTTCCTCTCCCCCATCCTAGATGCACACACCCCGCTCTTGCCTCCAGGACTGTCTGATGCCAAGGCAACTCCATGCGTGAGGTTTAAAACAAACAACAAGGGAGGGTCTAAGAATCTGCTGCTGAAATGCATACAGCTTTCATCACCAGGGCAAAAACTGCCTTCTCGTCTCCCTTCTCCTTGTGCGGAAGTGTTATTTGTTAATATGCTTGGTGCTTTACAAGACAGAAGATGAATGCCTTGAAGAGCTTAATGCCTGAAAGATGAAAGGCAGACAGTAGATGCCCTGGGAATCCCAAACGAAGCAAAACAGATGGTTTAAATGTGTTGCCTGATGGGGGTTGTTTTGCTAGAGGAGGTTGGCAGGAATGCCCCAAATGATATGACTATGTGGTTGACACATTTTGAGGAGAAAATATCCATTTCATGCATATACCAGCTGATGAACTCCAATTAGTTTTCCTTAAAAGTATGAGTTAGGTAGAAAGCTAGCCTCGACAGCATGCTAAAACTGGTAATGCAGTCAAAACTGGGCTGGTGCCACCAAATGTTCTAAGCTCACAATCATCATGACGTTTACAAAACACTTCATTAAATTGGAATTAAGACTGCTGTTGCAGGGCAGAACACGGGACTTCAAAATCTGACCCAAATATCAGAAAAAACAAAGAAATGCTTCATTAAGGACACCCTACAGAAGAATGTTGGCATTACAAAAGTAAACCAAAAATAATTGTCATCATCTTGGCAGATAAGCACCTCCCCTTGACCCCAATCAGAGGCATATATACATAGCACCTCGAAAAATCAGGTCACATATGGATAAAATCATCACCTGGAATCACTTTGAGAGGTTAGGCACAGCCATGCCTTGAAAAGCAGCAGGCAACCCACTGTGTGCATGATGTGTGTTCTAGGGCACAAGGCAAAACAACTAATCAACACTACAAATATCACATTTAATGGTCGATAAGCCAAGTGCGAGGAGCAAGCTGGATACAGACAAAGCCTCTTCCCTGTATCTCCACATCATGGTGTTATCACCCAATTTGGAAAAGCTGTTCCCTGCCCACCCATGCCCCTCTAAGCAAACACTTACCATTGCCATGAGGCACACCGATTCTCTCACCGTGGCAACAGTACTCAGCAGGGCTGCGAGGACCAGAATCATGCTCAGACATATCCCGCTGTAGAACGCTGGAGGAAAGGCACACATTGGAGTTTTAAGAAGACATGAAGCCCTAGCTGCCTTTCTTTCCCCTTAAGCAGGGTTGGGCCCCCTTTGATAAGCAAGAGCTTGCCTTTCATGAGGAACTTCTGGATTTTTGCTCCTCAAGCCATTAGGCTGGGAAGTCTGAGAACATCACAGAGCTAAAAATCTTGGCAGGTAGTGCCAGTCCCCTCTCACAGCAAAGGCACAATAACATTCCCCATCCTGCCCACAAACCTGCTGAAATCTTAAGGGGGATGACATAATTTTGTGTCAGGACAGAGATTTAAGATGTAGAAACTGAAGACATTCTGCTCTGCTGAATCTGAAAAGAAAGGACTGTGTTAAAGGGTGTACACAAGAACGGCCATACTGGGTCCGACCCAGTAGTCCATCTAGTCCAGTATCCTGTCTTCCAACAGTGGCCAATCCCAGGTACTTCAGAGGGAATGAACAGAACAGACAATCGAGTGATCCATCTCCCGTTGTCCACTCCCAGCTTCTGGAAGTCAGAGGCTAGGGACACCCAGAGCATGAGGTTGCATCCCTGACCATCTTGGGTAATGGAAGTAATCTTGGTAAACTGAGTTAATCTCTTTATTAAAAGTTTCTAATACTAAAATGACAAGAAAAAACAGGAAAATGCCTTCTCCCTGGGCTTGTCTGTATGAACACTTAGTTTGTGGCAATCTGGGGTGTAAATCTACCCAGCACTAGCCTGGCATTGGCCACTGTCAGAAGACAGGATACTGGGCTAGATGGATCTTTGTTCTGACTCAGTATGGCCGTTCTTATGCTGTGCACTAAAAGCTTCGATCTACGCCGCTTTGAAATGAGATAGATCATAGTGCACTAGGAAACTTTTAGTGCACAGCAACAGTGTCCACATGGACACTTAGTGCACAGCAGATTAGTATGGGGTAGATTTATACTCCAGTTTGCCATGAACTAAGTGTTCATATAGAGAAGCCCTGTGTGTGCAGAGAAGAATAATCAGAGTTAAAATACTGTAGTATGAAGGGGTCTGCATGCTCATACTGGATGTAGCTGTAATATAGATCATGGAAGACCCTTGCTCTGCAGGGTACGGTACAGACACTAAATAAGGGGCAGTCTCTGCCCTAAAGACCTTACAATCTAAGGCCCTGGTCCCACAAACACTTGCCTATATGCTTAATTTTATGCATGAGTCATTCCATTGATTTCAATGTGACTATTTTTGTGCGTGAAGCTAAGCACATGCTTAAGTGCATTGCTAGATCAGGCTCTAAAAATGGACAAGATACAAAGGGATTGGGTTGCAGGAGACTGCAACAGACTTTAAATTTATCCAGTGTTCATCTTTATATGGCTTACTTGTCCCACCACACTAAGTTTATAAACCTTTGTGCAGTGTCCCCCCTGACCCTTTGCTCCCATAGTTCCAGCAGAACCAGGTGCCCTGGAAACATGCCAGGCCACCTTGTTATTTTTGCCAGAAGATCACAAGTTCCCTTTACAATTGTCTCTGCGCTCAGATAAAGATCCTACTGAATCACAGACTACTGAACAAGAGCTTGAGTTCCAGTACCCACTATCAGGAGCTTATGCATTGCTAATCTTGTGCAACAGTCACCTTCTATTTCCTGGCCAGAGCGGAGTTCTAGCTGATACCCAATGGGAGAGTTCAGGGAATACACTGATGCTGAAAGCTCTTCAACCCAGAGCTCACTTCTAATAATGCACTGCACTAGTACTCTAAGGGTATGTCTATACTACCTGCCGGATCAGCGGGCAGCGATCGATCCAGCGGGGGTCGATTTATCGCATCTAGTCTAGACGTGATAAATCGACCCCCGAGGGCTCTCCCGTCGACTCCTGTATTCCACCGCCATGAGAGGCGCAGGCAGAGTCGACGGGAGAGCGTCAGCAGATGACTCACCACAGTGAAAACACCACGGTGAGTAGCTCTAAGTACGTTAACTTCAGCTACGTTATTCACGTAGCTGAAGTTGCGTAACTTAGATCCTTCCCCCTCCCCATGTAGACCAGGCCTAAGTCTGGAACTGAAGGGGCTTTAGACCCACCAATTATAATATTTAACTGGAGCCTGGAAGCAAGAATACACAAGAGGGTTTAACTTGCTTAAGCCCAAAAGTTAAAACCCTGGGAGTGTGATATAGATAGGCACCATCCCAGTAGCCATAATAAAATGGAGGGAAAAAAAGATGAACCTCAAATATTGTTGAATGAGAAAATCCTGATATCTATCCCCAAAACAAAAAACAGGGGCAATCCAGAGCATTTTAATGCCTAGGGTGTTCTTACCTCCCCACTCCGGTCTTTCTTACTGTCTTTTTCCCATTTAATTTGTTTAAGTTTTTCTTTTTGCTAGCTTAGGTGCATAGATACTTCCCTATGACCCTTTCACCTATCAATGTCTGACATAAAGCTGGTCGCAGGCAGCAACTCCTGCTTGTGACAGACAATAGTTGCTGTTCCAGGAAGAGAGGGTTTTTGTTTTTATGGGGTTTTTTTTGTCATCTCTCTCTCTCTCTCTCTCTCTCTCTACACACACACACACACACCTATCGTTTCTATGTTCTGCCTCCTTTCCTCCACTTTTCTGTTGTAGTCTCTTCTCTGATTTTCCTCTTTGTCTCCCACTCCTTTCCTTCTTTAAGAAGTCGCCACATGCTGTAAATGGAATGAAGACCTGGTTCCAGGCTGGGGCTGCGTGGCTGGGACGGTTTTTACATGATAATCACACCGTTCCAATCGTGCCAGTTAAATTCAGCTAAGGTTGCAAGTAAGGAGACACTGAGCTCTTCCATATTTTTGTTGACCTCCATTCTGTGAGACCATCTGCAGTAGTTTATGCCTACTCTCTTCATGGGATGTAATACAGAGAGTGAGGGCACAGCTGGCTGCCACCTGAAATTGAATCGTGGTTGGTTTATGAGCCAAATTCTGCTCTCATTAAAACAGATGTAAAACTGGACTAGCTCCACTGACATGAGTTCAGGTACAGTAATTTGGATTCACCCTATGGTAAATGAGATCAGAATGCAGCCCTAAGTATTTTTTTGAGTTTATCCATAGGTAGGCCAATTAACCAAAGCATCAATGAACATTCATGTATCACAACACTTTTCCCTTGAACTCTTCCCAGTCTGTCCTCTTAATCCTCCTCTCTGTTCCCCCAATTCTTTGTCTGTATTTCTTTGCCCTGTTTGTTCCCCAAGGTCCTGATTCAGCAAGGTGCTTAAACACATATGTAATGTTCAGCATGTTACTAGCCCCATTCACTTCAGTGGGACTACCCTTGTGCTGAAAGTTAGGTACGTACCTTGCTGAATTCAGGGCCTGACCCCTCTCCATCTTTTTCCTCTTGCCTTCCTTAAGTGAACAGACAGTATGTCTCCCTTCTATCCCACACAAATATAAATGTCCAAACTTTTAAAGGGCCCCATAGATTGTATCTTATAATGTGCTCCTTTCTGTGGTCCTACCCAGCCTCTCACTTCCATTGTGAGCTATTCTGAAGCTCCTCCCATACCTTTGGGCCTACTTATAGAATATTTATCACCCTCCATGCTTTGTCTGTAGTAGATGAAGCAAGGGGGACAACAGTGGACTCAGCAGTGCTGAAGCATGATGAACAGCGTTCCCCCACCAAAGGGCCAAGCAGGTGTTTCTCATACAGAAAAGAGATACCTTGCCTCTGTAGCGGCAACACTATACACCTAATTGGAATCCCACTTCATGTGAAGTCTCTGTATTTCCTTTCATTGCACCCTAATTTTACATAGCTCCAAAGATGCTGGCCCTCACAGGACATCTCAGTTGGACTAAAAAATGCGACACTTACCTACGTTGTGGAAGATTCTATAGGGGTTAGCCTCAGAGGAGACACCACTAATTATGCTGAAGTGAGCCCCATAGCGGGTGATAATGGTCAGTATGGTGACTGCCAGCCCCAGCAGCTGAAAAACAGAGATTTTACTGAGGAAGGAAAGTAGTAAGTGCAGAATTCACAGAACAACTACTGCAGATCTTATGAAAAGCTATCAGGCATACTCAGATACTTCAATTCATGCCCGAAGAAAAACAACCTGTTCCCCAAGAGAGTTAGTTTACAGTATATACCTGAAAGTCACACGTGAAAGGAACCCCAGGGCCCTTTAATAAACTCTTTGGACAGCACTGTATAATTACTGCATATGAAACCACTCACTCTATCCGTTGGACTCTGCTAGCAGAGGAAATTGTAATCATTGGGAAAAACCAGAGGAATCGTGTTTTCACAGACATCCCTTTCAATGGATTTACATTGCACCAATTCCTGAAGTATTTAGATACCAAATTCTGACATGTGTGCACGAGGGGGCTGTTATTAGCTTCAAGAATGGTCCTGGGTCAGATTGCGTTCTCTGCTCCTGCTCTCGAGCAATTTGCATTGTCTTTTGGGGAGTGGAGAGTCGCTTGGGTGTATTGTCATCTCTGCTAAGGAAAAGCTAGTGTCAATAGATGAGTCTTGCACTATGCTTTAAGGCTTTGTCTGCACTAGCCTTTTTCTCTAAAATTTCCCAGTGTTGCTATCATTTCAGCTCCATCACGGATAGTGCTACTGTAGATAAGACACTGAGTGACCACCAACGTTTTAACCACTGTGTTATCTAACCTGCTCAGAGCCTGTTAGATGGTGGCTGTCTGACCTAGGCTAGTGCTCCCACCATTGCTACCAAGAGTAGAGCTGAAATAGTCATAGCAACAGTGGGGAAATTTAAAATAAAACAAAACCCTAGCATAGCAAAGCTGAAAGGAGGCAAGACAGGAGTTCATCCTGATCTCCTGAGGCAGGGTCCTCCAGATTCAGGCTTCCCTCCGAATGCCACTTCTCCAGGTTCAATTAACTTTGTTCTGGGAGGCATCAACAACTGCATTACATGCATACAAAACCTTTAGAATCTGCAATATTTTCCAAATTCACAAGGAGAAGAATCCTCCACTCACAAAGGGACATCCTGGAAACTCAAACTCTACAGTGAAGAATCAGAAGTAATTATGTATGTGTTAAACATTACACTTAACTATTCTAAGTGTAATCCTATTACCTTTTCAGATGATGACCAATAGATTTTGCCCAAGAGGTATAGTTTGGTAGATTAAATATACTGTGACCCTAAGAACCCCTCAATGCCAACTGGCAAAGGGTTCACACTTCTGTAACAGCAACTCTTAGCAGTCCTGACATACTCATTACACTTAGCACACCACTTTCTAGTATATATCCATAAAGAAAATAATATAAGGTCTCTAATAAAAGCTTATGTCATTCTGATCCTCAATCGTTGTGAGATGTCTGTACAGGTGATAAAGAGTTGTGTATAAGTACTGAAAATATGTTTTAAAAATCTGTGTTCAAGGCAGAGCTGATAAACAGGTTTTGGCGACACAAACAACAGTAGCTGGTCCCATAAGAGACCACCTTATCTAATATTCTGGGACCAACATGGCTACTACAACATTGCAAAAAAGACACCAGAAACTAAACTGAACCACAGAGGATCATCCTGACTCGGGGGAGGAAACAATGGGTTTGGGGGGGAATATAAGGAGAAGGCAAAAGGCAGTACACTTTGCATTCATGAAAGAGAGATCCCAGCCACGTTGCTTGGAGATGCTGGGAAATTGCTTTAGGTGAGATAAACTACTTTAGACAAGGGTTTAATGTGTTAAGTTTAGACTCTAAGAAGTGTGTTATACTTTTTGTTTAATATGTAACCATTTCTGTTTCCATTATTACACTTACTCCGTATTTTTTAAATCTTAATCTTTGATAATAAACTCATGACTGTTTTTACTATCAATCTATCTCAGTGCGGTGATGTTACATAAGAAATGTATCCTCAGCTGAATCGAACAAGCTAGTGTGCACACTGTCCCCTTGGCTAGCAAACCTGGTATTTCCGTGAGTGTTCACCGGTTAAGAGCTGGACACTGCGGGAGTACTCCAAGGACTCAGGGGTTGAAGTGTACTTATTACTAACCTGCACAGAGAGAGCAAGGCCTGCAGAGGCCTGGAAGGCAGTGCTTGCGTTGATAGAAGCTGGTGATTTCAGGGAGCTGAACTACAGCAGGCACAGACTGATCCACACTTAGGGCAGATAGCAGTGAGGTGCCTCACAACCTTTGGTGCCACTAGGAAGTGCCACATATACAGTAACAGTTTTGCCCAATTTCAATACAATAGAACTTAAAACACTTATGATCTTTTAGGCTGTTTACAACTGAGAATCTGTTATACATACACAGTAAAAGGTTTGGTCCAGCTTCAATCAGCTCAGATTTCCTGCAGAAATATCAATCTAAACAAATCCTCATGATCTCACTATTGATACGTGTTATTGTCTGTATCCATATGTAAAGAATACAAATAAACTAAACTTGAGCTAAGCACATCCCCCTTCAACAGGTTTGAATGCAATTCTACCTTGAATAAGTCACATACTTCGTAGGCACAATGACAGCCCCTCTCTGAAGGGAGAACAATGTATTGCAACTAGAGCTGGTCAACTAAGTTTTGAATTTACATTTTTTTTCGATGAAATTTTTACCAAGCTTTTCCCCCCCAGTCTTTTCAACCAACTATAGAAACTAACTTGTTTCACTTCAATATTCACTTGCTTTCCTCTCTCTCTCTCTCTCTCTCTTTTTTTAAGGGGAGCTAATCGTAGTGCAGTTGTCCCAGAATTCCTTGGAAGAGTTCACCAAATTTCATCACATTTGCTTCTCCACAGCCACTCAATCAGAACTATAGAATTACTTCTGGTTTCCAGTACAGATTCAGAAGATTCCAACAGTTACATTCCATCCAATATCTGTCTCAGTAGACAGGCTTCTGTCCGACTACAAAGATGCTCTAGCTTATCCAACACATTTTAAACCACCCACATCTCAAGAAATTGTTCATCCAAGTGCAATAAAAAATTGTTTTTAAAAAGAAAGAAGCATAAGAAGATATCCCTGTCCTCATCTTAAAACTACCATGTCTGATGACAGCAACACATTTCTTACTTAAAGGCTAGTTCAGAATTGTGAAATAGTTGCATTACAGTGACACTTGAGAAACCAAAAGCTTATCGGTGACAGAAGGCAATGCTGGGGAGTAGCGATAACAGTTCAGGATGCAGTAATTCATACAGTTTGCTTCTTTCACCATAGACTTTTTCAGTGCTAAAATTGAAATGAGAGAAACAACTTTTACAGTTCCTTTTTAAGAAAGAATTTTAAGGTGGTCAGTTTACTTATCCCAAGTTCTGTACAGGTTCCCACTTCTGGTTGTTACCATGACAAAGAGGCTGGTCACTAGCAGCTGGCATTTGGTGGTCCTGACCCAGTGTCTCCGTCCCATGTTATCCTCTTCTCACTCAACACTGGCAGTCAGTCCCTGGAGAACAGTGCTTCAGCTAAGCAGAAGCTGGCAGTAGTGCATCTTGGGAAGTGTAGTCCTACTACAAGCTGACACACCTCTCCCAAAATGGATTATTATTAACAACACTTTTCATCCAAGGCTCTCCGTGTTTATAACGGTTTTATTATTAGGTATGAATATGAGCTTGAAATAAATCTTTTTTAAAGAATTTCATGAGATTTTTAAAGTCAAATTTGTTGAAATACTTATCAAAATGGTGATTGAAGTTTGTCATTTTACTGACATCCTGTGCTTTCGTAAATTAAAATTTTCAATAGCTATTTTTATAATGTTTTCGATAAAAAGAAGTCACCAGGAAAAGAAAAATTTTGAAAAAAGAAATAAAGTTTCACAAAAAGCTTTGGAGTTTTTGAAGAAAAAAAAATCCATTGATTGATGAAAATCATTTCGTATGAAAAATGTCAGCATGCCCTGGATAACAAGATATTACTTCCCTCAACCCAAAAATACAATCCTCTCTGAGTCAAGAATCTATTAACATCCAGATTTCTGGATGAGAGAGAAAAACATTTAAGAGCAATTCTATTCGGAGAAGTGATTGTGTAAAAGTGGTACCGTCTCATGCAAAAGATCTGTTGTCTGTGTATATAGAGTAATATCTGGTTATCTTAGTGTCTAATGCAAGTGACTACTTTCTTTTACTCCCATTAGTGCTGCAGACGCATATGCAGCTATGAGAGAGCGATCCTTATTGTGCATTGTCTATAAAACTGTTTACCAAATTCCAATCAGTTGCACCTGTGCAAACTCTCAGAAGGCAATGGATGTTGCAGAGTTGTCACTGGAAACAAAATATGAAAAAAACAGAATTACCCAAGTATGTCTGAGGGTCAGGGCTGACGAGACCGGGTGGGAAGCCGGTACAAATTACCGGGGCCCAGCGCTCTGGAAGGGGGCCCGGCTTCCCCCCCACACCCCTCGTCAGCCCCGTTTAGCCGGTCTGCCCTTGCTGGGGGGCCCGAAAAATTTTTTTCACCAGGGCCCGAACCCGCTCTCGGCGGCCCTGCTGAGGGTAGAATTTCAACTACAGAACCTTTATTGCTGATGATGATATGGGAAAAGGGAAGAATCCAGGTTAACTCTCAGACCTGTAGTTGTGTTTGCAGGGCTGGCAGAAATAAAACAACATCTTTCCAATTGAAAACAGAGCATACTTGATATGGAAATTAGAGACAAACATGGACTCCCTTCTATACACTTCCAACTTCACAGAGTTACCTCTCAGAGTAGTGCTGCTCTTCAAACAGTAAATCCAAGTTTATTTTTTCCCTAAGCAAATCACAATGAGCCGTAAGGACAATCTAGATGCAGTGTGACACCAGAAGAGGATGGAATCAAAGCATTCAGAATGAAATTCACTCATGTGCAGAGGGTCTTTTCTAATTAACAGACACTCACATTAATCCTTAGTTTCAGGGCCAGACTGATGGAAGAGAAGGGAAGGTAACAAATATAAAAATCAATGTCTTCCTTTTCTACTTATTAGTTTTACAGGTAACACAATATCTACTTCGGTTGGTAAGGCTGAAAGGGACAGAGAGGAGGAAACAAAATAGGGAAAGAATAGAAACCACATGATACAAAGAGAAAGAACATCAAAGTGAAAACAGATTGCACAATGATTGCACGGGAAAACAACGTGATGTTACATCATCTCAAGTGCAACAGTATTTAGTAAAGTGAAAGCTTTCTTGTGGGTTTGCAACCAGGAAATCTTATAAGATTTGAATTAAATTTACCCCCACTGTTTGTGAGAAGGTGATCTTTGGAAAAAGAAAAAAAATTTGGAGAAAATATGGGCACTTCCAATATCAGAAGACATTCCTATCACAGCGGTAGCAAGAAAAAGGACAGTCCAATGGTTAGGCCATTAAACTAAGACATGGGAGATTGAGTTAAATTCTCTGCTTTGGGCAAGTCACTTAATTTCTCTGTGCCTCATTCCCTATCTATGGGGATGACATTTTCTCACCAGCAGCGGCGTGAGAATAAATACATTAAAGATTGCCTGGTGCTCAGATACTATGCTAGTGGAAACCAGATAAGTAGAACTATACAAGTTTTTGGTTTCCTGGCAATTCTGGTTTTGGGTTGAACTGCAAACAAAGTTTGTTTGAAATTTTTGGTGAATCAAAGAGCAAAAAAATTGTTTCAGTTTGAATGAAATATTTTGTTTTGACCAAAAATGTTTCCTTTTGATTATGACCATTTTAAAAACATTTTTAAAATAAAATTAATTTTGAATCAATGTTGTTTTGAACTGAAAAACCAAAACAGTTCATTTCAAATATTTTGAAATAAAACATTGATCCCCCCCTTTTAAAATTTTCTTTCCCCCCTTCCCCCCCGCCAACACAGTTTGACGAAGTTGACATCAAATTGTGAAATGTTTTGGTATCACCAAATCTGCATTTTTTTGCTAAAGAGTTTTGGCTGGAAAATTTTGCCCAGCTCTACATATAATAACTTGCAAGATGCGTGTGATACCCAAATTTAATTTTTTACTGCTATTGATTCCTTTTAGTATTGTAGGGCCAAAAGAGAGACAGTTTTATTCCAATTCCTTCTTGTACATTTTCAAGAGAAATGGCTACTATGATACAACCACTGCAAAGCCACTGATGGAAGTTAAACAGATGTCATTGAGGGCATAACTGGAAGACTTAGTTCCACACTGGTGTAATCTAGCCAGCAGAAGCTTGATTGCAGGTGGCAACGAATAAGAAGGATAGCACCCAGTCTGACTGCCACATCTCCAATTGAATTTATAGGCACGGCAGCTAAAGATTAACACATCATGAAATATTTAATACAGAGTAATATGCAGAGACAATAAGGAACCACACAACCCCATCTTTACACAGTGACTTTTCAAACCAACTGCACTTTAAATAGTAATGAAAGTTAGTATTCTTTTAAAAAAGAAAGATCCTCTGCTTTTCCTATCTATCCTTTAGTTTCCTGCTGTAACCAAAATTCCATAATACATGTTAAGTACAGAAAGAGAAAACCAGCAGCAAATTCACATTGCCCACTAGAGGTCCTCACAGGCTAGGAGAATGGGTTGACATTCTGAAGTAACCACGGTTTCAAGTTCACTTCTTGACGCAAAACGTGCTTGCTTTCCTCCATTATCCACAGACACTGCTTCTATCTACAAGGTGTTTCTGAGGTTCTGTCTATCCTATGTCAATTTCTCAAAGCTTTCCCACCATTGCTAACACTGGTTCAGCTCTACTGGTGTTATTAACACTGGGAGCCCTAGCATAGAAAGAGGTTTGCTGGCTGCCACCACAGTCCTATGCAGCATTTCAATTACAAGATGACAAGGTGGTAAAAATGCTAGAAACCAATGAAGCTTTGTCTACATTAGGGCTGCCGTGGGGCCACTTCAGCTGAATAGTTGGTAGCACTGGTAGGAATTTTTCCTCAAATACCCTAGTGTAGACAAGGCCTTGGTGTTGCAGATGGATAGGTGAGAAGAGCTATTAGATTGCTTTTCTGTTATACTAGATCACTATGAATCAGCATTTTACGGCAACAGCTCTTTGTTCGGCAAGGGGATTCCCCACAATAGCTTGTTTTTGGGAAAGTCTGCCCAACTTTTGGGGGCTGCCCTGTCCTAAGAAACCTTTTCTTTTGGGGAAAGAGGTAGAGCGTCTCCTGCAATAGCATCTATACTCCTGCAATAGCATCTTCACGTAGCTGAAGTCCGCCCCCAGTGTAGACCAGGCCTAAGGCAGGGCCAAACATACCTACATCATCCCCGAAAGGAGTTTGTCTAACCTGTTTTTAAAACCCTCCAATTACAGGGATTCTACAACCTCCATTGAAAGCTTATTCCAGTGCTTATCTATCTTTACAGCTAGAAAGTTTCTCCTAATAACTAACCTAAATCTACCTTGCTGCAGATTAAGCCCATTACTGCTTGTCCTACCTTCTGTGGACATGGAGAACAATTGATCACCATCCTCTTGATAACAGCCACTAACTTATTTGAAGACTCCTTATCTGTGGCTTACCCAGCCAGCAGCTCTCGCTGTCGCTCTGTGGAAGTCCTGCAGGTGGCAGCATCCCAGGTTAGGAAGGTATCAGCAAAAAGAACGAGGAGTACTTGTGGCACCTTAGAGACTAACACATTTATTTGGGCATAAGCTTTCGTGGGCTAAACGAAAGCTTATGCCCAAATAAATGTGTTAGTCTCTAAGGTGCCACAAGTACT